CTTTTTTGAACATTCCCGTAACTTTAAAATATTTTTAGGAAAGAAGTTAAAAGATCTTGATGAGAATAGTGTATATGAGGAAATTATTTCGACGCATAAGACGTTAGAAATGAAACAATACATCAAAAGGGAGGAAATAATAGAAAAAATAAAAGATGAAATGCTAGAACAATACAGGGGGTTGATAAAATTAGACGATATAGTTTTAGAGAAGAGAATAACGTACCCTAATCCAAAAAAATACAAAGGAGCTGGTGATAAAGAAGAGATGAAAAAAGAATATGAAGAGCAGGAAAGGACAATAAAAGAAATTAATAAACGAAAAAAAGAAATAATAGAAAAGTTAGAAGATTTGAAAAAAAAATTAATAATGCAAATAGAGGAAATATTGGAAGTATGTTCTACAATAAAAGAGAGGTGCAATGATGAAATAGGAAAGCAGAGCACTATTATAGTTGGTGATAAAAAAGATGCTTTTAATGAGTACTATAGTAAGAAGAAAATAGAGAGCTTCGAAAAAATGTTGGGAAAGCTAGATAAGGAACAAAAGGAAGTAGAGGCTTTCTTAGCACGGTTAAAAAGCAAGAATTTTTTAAGCATGTTAAGTAATAAAGATGCTAGAGGATTGTTTAATGTGGCAAAGGAAGGAGTAATGAACCCTTTAGATACGTTGAAAAGTGGTTTGAAAACAGTGAGGGGATTACCTTCAATACTTTCTTTAGAGACAGAATACGACTACATAAAATATTATTCTGAGCTAGATGACAAGTATATAAAGGCAATAAAAGAGGTGGAGGGTTATAAAGTAAAGACGGAAAAAGGTGGCAAGCTCATTTTTTATGAGGAAGTATTAAAAAGGCAAGAAACTGATTCATCAAGGTATAAATTTGAATCTCAGGTAGTAGATTGTAAAGCTAAGTTGGAGGATTTAAGATCAGAAAATAATAAGTTAAATGATGAATTTAAAACACAGCAAGAATTAGAGAGAGAAGCGAAAGAGAACTTATTAACGACTAAGGATCTGAAGAAAAGATCAATAGAAACAAGAAAAGAGATTGA